TGTTTAAAATAGTTTCAGCTTGCAACCTAGTAAATGTTACTGCTTACTACCTGGATGAGTTTGTGCATCACTAGAAGACACAGTTAAAGTCAATACACAAAATATTTGTAGCAAAGCAAGGGAGACAGAGGGTTTTATTCAAGAGCATTGCAATTATTGACCTCAAACACTTTGATCAAGTTAGGCATCACACTTCAGTGGAACAGTCAGTAGAAATACATGGAGTTGTGGCTGTGTGGGAATGATGAATCCAGGAGAATAAAATAAATACCAGTGTATTTTAATGGTGTCTTGGTCTGATCTTAAGCAGCTATGCTAGGCTCTCTTTTTTGTTATTTTTCCTAATATCTGTGTTATATAAGTGATGCCGGTTTAAGCTTTTGAAAATGTGCTATTTTGTTGTCTTTGAATTATGAAGATTCACAAATAGAGCTAATGTCTTAGGTCAGTTCATTTAAGAAAGAAAAGGAGAAAGAGAATAATAATTTATTTATAAGTTAAAGAGAGTGAGTTATACAGAGTCTTTTTCTGTATCTTTATCACCAGCTCTTTCATTGTCAACACAATTAACCCAAGTAAACTCTTATTTATTATTATAGATTAGAGGCAAAATGCATATGCAGCTCCAGGCTTTTAAAAAGTGGCTTACACAGTAAACTTGTTGCATGGAACTAAGCATACTAAAGTCCAATTTAGCAAAGATGATGACATACAGATGGTGAAGATGGTGGAAATAGTGCCTAGGTGGATTTATTGCCACCTAGGCAATATCTAGACATGAGGCAAAGGACAAGAAAAATTCTTTGTACTAAATAGAACCACATGAATAGCTATGCATTTGTAAATTTTATTTTAAATAGCTCTTTAGTAGCAGACTTTCCATTTGACTAAAAAAGGGCAAATGTAGCAAATACATATTTTAAGGGTGGGTGGAGGGGATTGAGGTTGCAGGCAGCTGTAGCTATGTTAACATGACCTTAATGCTATGCAAATCTTTAGAAAAAAATGTTGACGATGTAGCAGAACTACAATAATAAACATAAGGAATACACAGTATTCCTTTTTCAAAGAAAGAAAACAACAATTGTACTTAAAGAAGACATACTCGCCTAATTTAGGACCAAAGGAATGCAGATTAAAGTAGATAAAAACCTTAAAATCAAAATCAAAACATCTTTTTCTTTTTTCTCCCCCTGAGGCTTGGATCATGTAAATTGTATTAGTGCTTCTTTGTGGTTTTCACACTTTTAAATTGTTCTAGTTCTGAATTCTTGCCAAATTATGCAGGGGAAATTTATTTCTAGTAATCAGCAATCTTACTGCTTTTTATTTCAATATAGGTTTTAGCTTGGAATGTGGATATAAGTAAAATGACAATTTTAGCTGAACTGGAAACCCTTGTATCTTTTCCAACACATCTTTGCAAGTTAACTTACATCCTGATAAATAATTACCAGGTTGAAAAATTCTTTGGAACTTTTTCTTGTCTATAACTGATTCAGTATTTCAGACATCTGTTGTTATGGGGATTTGGTTAAATTACCCGTCCTCGCCTGTTTTGTTGTGAGCGTAGTGATGAAATTTTTACATCGATAGTTATTGTCAGCAGTGCAGGAGGTTTGACATTAGGTGATAGCTTGGTGCTCTCAGTCACTATGAACTTTCCATCAGTCAATTAGGACTTCTGTGTTTAGAGACAAATTTTTCTCCCTGATCCTACATTTAAAAATCAATCTGCCTGGATGTATCAGCAGTTTGAAACAAAGTAAGGCAAAAGAAGCTACCTCCTGTGAATTCTAGTTCTGTGTAAAGAGAGTTAAAATTATAAAGAAGTCATGAGTAAAAAATGATAAACTCATTTGTTGGGGTTTTTTCCTTGATCTTTATTGCATATCGTTTATATGCACAGTTTAATTTTCTTACTGTTTCTGTAAGTATGATGTTGGATGTGAGGACATGATGTACGGCCAGTTTTTTAGAACATGTTTCAGAGAAGTATTTCATTTTAATTTCTGTTATGTGTTTTTGAATGTTCAATGTTTTGTTGAGGTCCTATTTTCCCAGTTTGCTGCCACAAGCCTAGGACAAAACTCTCTCTTCTAATAAAAAGGTGAAATCACAGGAGAGAAAGAAGTTTATGACCAGAGCCTTGTTCTTACAAGGCTGGCAGGTTATTTTAATCATCAGCCAAAGAACAGAAGCTCCTGCTTGTTACCGAAACCTTCTTCACCTTTGGGAGCAATGTTCTGTGACATTAAGAAACTTTTTGACAAAATAATACCACCTAATGAGCTACAAAGATAACAGACATTTAAGATGAAGGTTAATACTGAAAGAGACTGGAGTTCTTTGTCTCGTCTTCCTCTTCAGTTTGCCAAGTGAGTGCAAGATTGTGCCTGTCTGCTCATCCCTGAGGAATGAGCAATGTACAGCTCTGCCACAGCAATTGTCACTCAATGCCTGTCACACCATTTTCTAAGAAGAATTAATTTACTTGTTTTTGTATTTTTTAACTAAAGGTGACATGCCTCCTCTGTTGGGATAAGCAAGTCTTTTCCACCCCTTTCCTTCCTCTGCTCACTTGTTCATGGAAATGTGTGTTCATGTATGTGTGTGCACAGCCAAACAAACCATAGCATCTCATCACTCATCCCATCATTGTCTCTTTGGGAGTGCTGCAGGAATAATGTTTAATTAGTTTTGGTTTAAAATTTAGAACTAGCCTGAAACTGGACTCCAGTACATAAATAGTTCATTTCATAAAGGGATGACTCATTAAATAAACACGGGGATCCACTAATGAGATGACAGGGAGCAGGGACAGTTTTTAGGTCAGGAGAACAGGCTAAAGTCTAACTTTTAAACTATGCTCAAAGAGGCTTAATATATTCTCTTTTTGTAGCCAGAACAATCTTCTTGACTTAGATGTGCCACTTATTTTCATGGCCAAATAAGTTTAAACTTCTGGCACAAGTCGCTAATTTATATACGCATACTGAAGAATCATTTAAAAACAGAGCACGGAATGAAACAATTTACAAGTTCAATCCCAGAACTTTCATAATTCAATCCTTTGTCTACACTACATTAAATAATTTTCCCCTTAAGTCCTTAAACACACTGCTGAAGCCATTTAGCTTTGATTACAGCACTTTTAAAGAGGGCAGTGGTCTGGTCCACACCAATTTGACTACTTTGGGCTGAGATGAGGGCTTAAGATTTCTCAGTCATCACATCTTAGGCAAATCATGTCCAGACACCTCCACTCCCAGGCACCCCACCAAGTTCCTTTGTTTTTCTTGGGTTGGCAGAGGTAGCTTGGTTGAGCCAGCAGAAGGCCACTTCAGAACTAAAATCCTTTTTCTGAGTGTTCTTTTACTCAGAACAGCACATTTCTATACCAAAAAATATGGCTTAATGGGTAAAAAAATTCCTTTGTACATGTTTTATTAGTGCCAGGTGTGTAATAAAGTCACAAAATTATATCAGCTCCCTAGATCAACATTCAGATAATTTAGACAAAAAGTACTCTTTCCATTCTGTCATATTTTTGAAGTATGAGGGAAGTATTTAAACAAGATGTTCTCTGTCTCTTTAAATGGGAAATTATAAAGATACTAGGTAATTTATAGCAAGATAAGTTTATTTTGTAGAAGTATCTCAAAGGGAATCTCTATCACCCTTCTCTGAGTGGTAACAAAAAAGTTATTTTTAGTTATTTATTTTTAGTTATATATTTAGTTATTTAGTTATTATTCCATTCAAGAAATGGCCCAGTGGAATATATTATTCTTATCTATAGAATAACTTCCATAATGCAGTTTGTAAAAAAAGGAACAAAACCAAAACCAAATTATACTACAGAAAAGTGGTGCATTTTGCAGCCTGAGTGTAAAGTACAGGAATGAACTTCAGTGAGGAAGAAGCTGAGGAATGAGTAGGAAATACATGGACATAAACAAAAAATCCCACTGTTTACCAGGAATTTGACTCATGCTCCAGAGTGTATGAAAAAATAGAGTGTGGTAGAACGGGTGCATAATCTCTTCCACAAGCTCTGTAGATTGTGTTTATTTTGTGTCAGCAGTTCTCATCACTTGCACTTCTGCCCCTTTGCTCCCAGTGCAAGTTCTGCTGTCTAGAGAGGCTCTGAGTGTTGGATTCAATGCCTGTAGCAAGCAGAGTCAAGGGGTATTTGATTATTCTTTTGCTACTGTATGTTCCTTTGTATCTTCCCTCTCACTTAATTGTGTCAGAATCATTCAATCTAGGTAAATAGAGATTTCCAGGAGAGAGATGGCAAGTAAATAAAAGAATAAACTCCCCACTCATAATCAGGGGTTATTTCTGGGTAGTTGGCTTAAAGAAAAAATTTGCAAGAATTCTCCATTTGTGGCAGTGAATGAACTTTTAGGTTGTTTCCTTTTTTTTTTTTTTTTCCCTGAGGAATGTAGAACATTTTCTCTTATTTTCATAAGGTGAAAGTAATAAATAAAGTATGTTATCTTCATTCATGGTGACAGCACAGATGACCAAATTGCTCAAATGTTGTTGTCTTTCTCTGCCAAAAGGAGTAAAAGGCTTCCATTGTGCCTTCTTAGATTTGTACTTTATTGATGAATCATGACATTGAGAATCAGCATATTAATTCAAAATACAAGCTGGTGGCAAGGAAAACTTTTGAAAGTAGGGTTTCTTTGCCACATTTTCACTGACCATAAAATTTAGCTGGCAGATTGTCTATTAACTCTTGGCATTACTGGAGGGTATTTCTATTTATGTCTGTCAATAAAAAAACCCAAAATTTAGTTTTAGGCCCTCCATTGCTTTGATATTTCCATGCTAGAAGCTAGCTGTAACACAAATATAAAAAAATCCTCATTAAGTTTTATTAATTATATCTTGGGTAAATTTATTTGATATGTAATTAATTTAATATCACAGAAGCAACTGTAAGAATCGGTCTGAAGTTTCCCTCATTTTTGCCTGGCAACTGTCACAAGAAGACCCTGAGGACCCCCTCCCAGTTGACTCTGGACAATGGTTTTCTGGCCTGCTTGAGGTGGGTGCTTGCCAAGGGACTCTTTGCAGGTGTGTTGTGCTCATGGACTGTGCTGTCATGGCACCAGGAGCACCTGTCTCCCGGAGCACCACACAATGCTCCATAAATCTCCCCACCCCTTGGCCACAAGCCACTCGCTTTGGAAAAGGACTATAAAAGAGTGACACTCTGGAGAACCTTTTGGGATCCCCCCATGGATGACGACCTGTCTTTTGGCTGGCCTGCAAGGACACCCATCTCATCTGTTGGTAGCTATTTCCCCACTGCCCTCTTTTTCTCTCTATACTCCGTTTCCTATATCTCTCCCATCAATAGCAACTGAGTTGCTGGCATTCAATAAAAATGCATAAACTGATTTGTCCCCTGCTGTTGCCTTTTTTGCACCTCCAAGATCCAAAAACAAATCATCATGACCCCCGTCCTGTGTTGGCAGATTGTGACAGCAGCAAATACCTTTATACTTCCTAACACATCAACTTAACAATGAAAGTTATATAACATGCATTTAAAGGGTATTTAAATATAAAGGTGGGTTAACTTGCAAGTAACAGTGAATGAATGACATCAATGTGAAACTGAAAGGGCTGGACAAGTCATGAGACTTCTAGCGAAATAAATTTTCATGGCTGTTATTCTGATCAGTAACATTTCACCATTTAATGCTGATTTGTATTTTAAATTTTCTATGCTCTTTGTCTTAATAAAGGGCAGTTTCCTTTGGTCAGAGTAACCATCTGGATATATGTTAAAAGCACCATTTCCCTGTTGAGCCCATGGGTATATAAACAGGAGGTTTCAGTCAGCGTGGACATAAACAGGCAAAATATATTTTTGTGTATAGATCTGTATGTTCCCACACAGACATAACTGGGATTAAAGTACACAGCTATCAGAAAAGAGTATATCACTTCTAGGTATATAAAGGCAAGAGCTCAAATATTCCCATAGAGGAGAGCTTAAAAAAATCTTTGGTTTCCCCAGGAACAATGGATCTGTTAAGCGATTAAAAGTGAACTGAGAGTTCAAACCTTACAGGTTTTCGTATCTGTGAAGCAGCTTAACCATCAGAGCCTTACATTAAAAATTCTCTCCAAGAAATCTCAGTGGAATGACAGCTCCTAATTTCTGTGGAGCCAAGAGAAGCAAAATATTTACTTTTTAATATCACCCATCTTTAAACTTCACTCCTTTAAAATCCCTTGCTTCCTGCAAGAGAGGAAACAAAAGGGACACATCACAGACTTCCTTTCGCATGTGGAACAAAGCTGAATGGTACTTTTATCCTTGGCTTCTTTGTTGCTCCCCAAATTTATCCCTCTTGGAACAATCTGCCACTACTCTGTGCCAGCAGGAGCTTTAGAAGAAGGCCATATGCACTGCCTGCTACATTAGGGGACAGATTTTCTTATTTCCTGATGTATTGGAACGGCTCTGTGTCCAGAATGGGATTTCTGGCCAAGAAATCTTTCTGGGGATAGGACAGGGGCAAAGATCTCACAGGCCCTGGTAATGCTACTGAGTGAGAAATGGCCATTTACTCCCAGAACTGCAGAGCTGGATGCAGCACACACCCAGCCTACTCTTCAAAGGTAAATGCAAGGTCTATTATCGTTTTGTGTAAGTACTGACAAATAAATGGGAGATTTTGAGGAAGATTTTCACAGCAGTATTTTAAGTGGATCACCAATGTTCACTGTGGTTCACTGCAGACAACGTGGAGCTTTCAGCTGCAGCCAAGGGTCACCAATTGCTTATACAGTGGCAGTACTCAAGAGGATCCTGTTATGCTATGCAAGGATGGAAAAGAGACAGTTCTTGTCTGGAATGTGTTTCCACTGCAATAAATCATACCCCATCCTGAGTTATATCTCTGCTGTACACCAAGAGAAAAGGTTGTTTTGATTAATTTAGAGACCAGGCAGAGTTTTCTTCTAATTCACTCCTCCAAAATATGAACTCTCCTAAGTGTTTTCTGGACACACATCTTCCTGTTCCCCTCCTGAAATTTCTTTTGTGTCCTTATTGTAAGCCCTGTTTTTTGGAAAGACTGTTGGGGTATTCACCATGAAACAGAGAAGAGGTCATCTTCCCATATCCCTTCTGTTCAAGGAGAGAATTATATCAGTTCTAAGTTCTGTCTCTTCCAGTGAGATCACTGACCTGTCTTTTCCTCCTACCCTCTGTGTAACAGGTGAGCTGCAGATTGGTGGAGGCCGTTCCCCCAGGAAGAAAGCATGTTTAAGTATTATTTTTGTTTTGACAGACTCTTGTCTGATTGATTATACTTAATTGGCATTTCATCTGTTTTTCTCATCCTGGGTCTTTGTTACATAATTTCCATTTTTAAAAGACAAAGTGATTTTAGTAATTTCCTCGGACAAGTCCTGAAAGCCTCTCTGAAGATACAGATACTTATTAATCTGAATGACAGAGGGGAGGAATCAGATATTGAAGCTTATCTGTGTCCTCTTGAAGTATATACTACTTACTGCATTGTAGTAGATTAGAAATAGTGAGTTCTCCTTCGTGTCTCATTAAGAAATGATAAAACCAGGTAGTGTCTTTTCAGGACCTGTTACCAGAATAGTTTTGGCCTTTTCACAAGGTTCTCTTCAGTGCTGAGCAGGAATTGCATGGGTTGCACTGTAGGTGCAGCTCTCTTGAAACCAGAGGGATCATAGGCAGTGCTAAAGTCAGATACAGGAAGGAGACTGTCATCAGAAGCACATGACATCAAAATTTTTAAGGAAACATGTAGGATGGGGAATCCTTAATTAGATTTTAAGCACAGAGTGGAGTTTGACGCCTTACTTTAAGTATTATGTCCAACAAGAAGAGAAATCCAGGTCACTGACAACATAGGCTTGTTCTGCACTGGGGAACATTTACAGAACATTCCCACTATTGCAGCTCCACTGACATTAGTGGTAGGATGAGCTGCAACTTTCACAGCTCTCCAGCACCAGCAGCTGTTTCAGCACTGTGCTAATTAGATTGGCACTGAGCTGGTTTCATAGACATGATGCTGCTGACAGCTGCTGGGGTGCCATCTACACTAGGGCTGCCAGCACTGATAAAGCTGTAGTAGTGTTGGGAGCTGTGGCAATTATTTGTAAGTAAAACTGAGATCTGTGGGCTGAAGTTATAGTATGTGTATGAATGCATATATGTAATTTAATTCTTCCCCTGTTTTCCCCTGACATCCTACTCACATGCATATGCTTTGCTGATCGTTTGTGAAAAACTGAAAATCTCATGAGTCACGTATCTTCTGGCTTGATGGAGGTAGAGTGGAGGGAGCAGGAAGGTTTTGAGTTTGGGACCAAGGAGCTGAAGTACAATGAGTCTGGGTGAGAATAAAGTAGGGATAATAATGATCTCAATGTGCATTGTGCTAGTGGTGATGATCTGTGCATTGACTGCTAATGGACTTTAAAAAGCTTTCAGTGTTCAACATGACTTGGTTGTGGTGGTCTCATCCAGATGTATCTGTATGTGATACCTGCTTTCCCTATTAAATCAAGATCTGTTGGCATGAACAAAGCATATTTCTACTGGAGTATAATTTATAAAGATAAAGGAATAGAAGGGTGTCAGTATGTGTGAATGTGTCAGATCATTCATTTTTCCTACAATGTTTTGTCATTTCCCTTAAAATTTTAAAAGAGGTAGAAATACTTTATGGAAATTATGGATCTAATCTTTACTTCCACTTCCTTACTCTTATACTCAAAGTACCATAGTACTTGACAGGTTCTTTTCCTTTATTGGAAATAAGCACTGCTTGGTTCGGCACATGTGAGAGATAACTTAATAAACTCTTAAAAGGATAGGTGATTAAAAGGATACTGTTTACCAAAGAAAGAACGCCATTGTCTCCCTGCCCTGTCCCGTTCTAATGCAATTTTCTGTGAACTAACTAGAACGGCATCTTTTACAAGCAGCTCTTGGACCTCCTATGGAAATAATTCACATGAAAAATCAGAGACATGACAAATCAGAGACATGGCACTTCTACAAAAAGTCTTTTTCTCTGCATGCAAACCCATGTAAACAAGCAAGAAAAAAAATTCAGAGGGAGACTGTTTAAACCATCCTATACTCCAAAGAATAGTTTTAAGGAAATTTCAGATACTCTTCCACATTTACAGATATCAGCAAAATGACTTTTTAAGTTGTACGAAGTGACATGTCTTACCCTTCCCCTTTCCCCCTTTCCCCCAATTTATTTGAGTATAAATTTTAGCATTTACTTCAGCAAAACTAGCAATGTTCCCTCTGCTCCGGTGCCTCTACCCATACAGAGGCCCAAAATCAATGCCCAGCTCCTTTTCCAGAGAAATGCACACACACTCAAGAAAATGAAATAGTCATTTGCAGCTAAATAGCCTGTAGCAGACATTCAGAAGAACTCTACTGGTTGTCTGATAAATCACCCACCCAGCCATGTGAATGCTTGGTTCTAACCATTCTTTTACACAACCCCACACTCACACAGAGTTTAGTTTAAAAAATCTTATAGTCTAGATTGCATAAATTTTGTTGAAGATGAAAGAAAATTCTGGCCTCTTTGAACTGCTCTTTGTAAAATATCTACAAAACCCTTTGTCCTTTTTTTTTTAATAAAAAATTATTCTTTTTTTCCTGAGGAAAGTTAATTGCTTTGAAAAATATAATATCTATGTCAAAAGCAGATTCACTGTGTATTTTGTTGTATTTAAAGCACAAAATAGATACAAGAATGTGTACTAGAGAATCCATTCTGGATTAATTAGAAAGGAGTGCGTGCAAAGAAAGTTGAATTCTCAATTTTTTTTTGTGTATCTTAGTACCTATTATCTGTTCTAGGACATGATAAAAGCATTTGTGAACTCCACAGGCATTCAAGACCATGAGAAAATTGCAATGAAAAATCTACCAAAAAGCAATCTACCAGATGACAAGCATATTTATTACAAATCAATAAAAATATTTTGCTAGGTGAGGCCGTGAATGAGCTCTGTTGTTGTTTTGTGTAGTTAATTTCTAGTCCTTAAG